TGACAAGTCTTTAGAAACAAATATCAATAATGAGACCATTGAAAATACATTTATTAGGTGATTGATAAAATCATACCCTTTAAAAACAAGCAATTCGATGTGTCGTCGTAGGCAATTTAGCCTATTGTAAAGCGGGCAGCGATGACACTGATGTGATTGCTAAAAAGCAACAAATTTAAAGTATGTACGTAGATGACCGCTAACATTATCTAAGTATTGGAATTTAAAACGTTGGGACCAGTTTAACTAGTCCTATTTAACTTTCTTTTAAATTGAACTTTTTTGTTATTTAATATAAATATATTCACATGTTTGTTATATAGAGCCAATAGACACAAGTGACAAAACAAATTAAAACTGATTCCACTCTTCAGCTCAATAGAACTATTACCTGTTCAGCGTTTGGTTATTTATAAAACTCAATGACACATGGCCACCGGTCTCCAGCCCGCACATGCGCACGGGTGGACGTGTGGTGGCTCAGCTCGTTGAACGATACTCTCACAATCCAAAATGACTGGCCGAGTCTGACTGTCGCTTAGTACCCAGGTTAACAGTGCTGGCACTATAAAAAGAAAACGGCACATCCTGTACCCCTTGTTATATATGATGGATGATTATGAAATTTGTACCGTTTGTAAGTTAATCATCCTAACTATTTTCATGTAATTATCATATTTTTACACGTCTGGCCAGCGTGGTATAGTAGGCCAAAATCTCCTTTCTAAAGAGAGGCTTATGTCCAGCAGTGGACTGTTATAGGCTGTTGATGATCATATTTTTAGAACTTTGCTAAAAGTAAATAAATTCTTCTTAAAGAATTGTTACAACTGCAAAAACTAAAGGTTCAAGTGTTGTTAACAAAACGCATTCCCACGTTTTCTAAATTTGCCATGCATAAAATATAAATTACATAAAAAACTATATCTTTACATTGAGATCATTGAATGTGTATTTAGTTTCAGTTAAAAACAAACATTTCTTTATTAATAATGTTAACTAAACAGATTAGACAAAGTAATATAATTACAAATCTAAGTAAAAAACTATAATAAGTACCCTCAATGTAACAGGTAACATTACAATACCAATAGTCCCTTCTAGTCGGTTTGAAGTCGGTGCCAAGCCAAATAGGTGCTTGATAGAATGTAGCGCGGCAGCTGCAACAGTCTTCATGCTGCGCAAAACATGTTGAACGAGCTAAAGTGGACGCACATCTCCAATTATATTATTATTTTGAATGCTTTAATAAGGAGTTGATACGTTTGCGCACGTAATTGATCTGGTTGGTCTTTATTAATTAACAAAATCTTCGATGTTTCATTAGAATTATTTCGAATTCTTAATTTTTCATTGTGCTAATATAAAGCTGACATAGACCAGTATTACTTATTGTGCATCGAGCTTGGCACCGACTTCAAACAGACTAGAAGGGACTATTGGTATTGTAATGTTACCTGTTACATTGAGGGTACTTATTATAGTTTTTTACTTAGATTTGTAATTATTTTTTAATTTTTAGTGCTCTTTGTTGGTGTTTTTTGAAGTCGGTTCAACTTTTTTTTTAAAAGGGTTTATTTTACCATTTTTAGTGTAGGATATGTTTGTAATGAGTAGATAAGTACGATATTTAAAACACTACGTACCGTAATGTATAGTAACAAACTGTAGTTTGTTAGATTATATTAAATATTATATTAAATTACTGCTGGACATAGGCCTCTCCTACATTGGCGTCCAAACTGATCAAGATCAGCTTAAATTCTTTTCTAAGAAACAGTCAAATTCTTGTGAGTTGCAACCGAACAAAATAACTTCCGATTCAATTGACACTGACCTCGAAGGTGAAGATAGGGAAGCTTTAGTGAGACTACTCAACAAATATGCTTAATATTTTATAGAAGGAGTTCCAACTAGAAGGGTTAATGTTAGAAATTAACCTAGTTGACTCACACAAAATTTAAGAGTTTTTGCCAGAACTATTTTAATAAATTAAGTATAAAATTACTTACAAACGAAATGCGATGCCATCCATAGCAACAAAACGTCTATCCGAATTATTTTAACAAGATAAAATACAAAATTTCAACCTTTTCTTCTTATTAATACAACGAAAATTACTGTGGTGACATAAATACTGTAAGTTCTCTGCGCATCACATCGCGCAGTCTCTGACGGTTGCCATGGTTTTAAAGAAATACTCGTAGCTAAAACACGTTATCGGGGCTGTCAAATTCCCAATAATTGTGAGGGTTTCCCTCGATTTCTCTAGGATCCCATCATCATATCCTGAATTGGTGGTAATGGGACCAATTCGGGAGCATACCCTTACGATTACAAAAAGAATTTTGAAAATCGGTCCACAATTGACGGAGAAATCGCGTAACAAACATACATTAAAAAAAAAAAATACAGACGAATTGAGAACCTCCTCTTTTGTGTTTTAGAAGTCGGTTAAAAAGAAAACATACTGTCGAATCAAAAACCCTCCTTTTTTGATGTTGGTTAAAAATCGACTAGCATGAAGCTCCTAGTCGAGACGAATCAAATGAGCACAAACACGGCGGAATTCCTTTATTTTATTACAGAGTTCCCATGGCTATTTACCGTCTCCATCATCAGACCCTGAATATCACATAGGATCGGAGTCCTTATTAATTAGACTCAAACACATTCAAATTCGATGGTATTACATAATTTTGTTACAGAGATCCCATACTCCTAAACCATTCATCATCAGCTTCATCATCAGCTCAGCAACATCAGATGGTGACCATTAGATGCAAAAATCTACATAGATTAAGATAATTTCTGATAAACAGTGTATATGCCTACAAAATTTGAGGGTTTCCCTCGATTTCCCCAGGATTCCATCATCAGATCCTGACCTGGTGACAATGGGACCACCTCTGACGTATGACCTACCAAATAAAAAAAGAATTATTCAAATCGGTTTATAATTGCCGGAGTAATCGTGTAACAAATATACAAAAAAAAAAAAAAAAAAAAATACAGTCGAATTGAGAACCTCCTCCTTTTTTTGAAGTCGGTTAAAAAAAGAATGACGTATTTCAATTCAATTAATTTAAGGTAAGGTACTAATAAATTTTATTGAAATCGATTAGATTAATCCTGAACACAATAATAAAAAGTAATTAAACTGATTTGACAGGGCATCAATTTATTGAGAGATTAAAAAAATCATAAAAGTTTGATTTTGAAACATAATAATATCTATGTTAACTAATCTATGTTAAGATCTCTAACTTGTTGACAGCAATGACAACTCATTTATTACAGCCAACTGTCATTGTTATCAACTTCAGTACAGCTGATATGCAAACTACAAACTGAAATAACTTTTGAACGCAAAGTTCCAAAAATCTGGTAATTAAAACTGTAGTTGTTGAAGATATTACCATCCAAATAAGTACAACAGTAATCCCTACCATGAGATACGCAAGGCGGTACAATAGTCCCATACATGCCTGCCATTGTCCTTTGTGATATTATCTTCCTTAAGATTCTCAGTTCGGTGCATAATGAGGTAGAATGAATAGGTAAACCGACACTAATTGATTAGGGGATAATATTCGTTAAATCGTTTTGAAGCCCTTTGGGATCGAGTCGCTAGGATATGGGTAGAGTTCGTTATACATATAAAGAACTAGCTACCCAGACCAGACTAGGGCCTCAATTCTGCTATTTTGTGTTCACGCCAAGCCACTGTTTTTTTTAAATAATTTATTATAATAAAAATAAATAAATAATTTCCTCAAAAAACGTAATATATTTTCAACTACCGATATTTATACCGATGCCAATGGCCACTCGATGGCATCTCAATAGCGTGTCAGTGGTATGACAGTGGCTTGGCGTAAACATAAAATAGCAGAATTGAGGCCCAGTAGACGGGCCTTTTTCTCGCATAGAAAATTAGCATTGCCATTCAACGTGGCAATGCTTACAGCTCTCTGGAAACGCTATCAGTAGGCGATGATGCGGAGAATATTTTGCGCTTGCAAATACCCGTAAATACATGGTGACTACAAATGTACATATATTCTTTATGTACGGTAAATGCATTCACCTTTAAAATAGTTTGTTATTTTTTTTTGTTATTTGTATGTAATTAAACTGAAATGACGCAAAGATCCCGAATATGGCTCGATCACGATCACTCGCTGTATCGTGACATCTGGAGCGAGTTCAATGACCAAACACATTTTTCCACACGACCTACGTGTAAATAATAGTTCATGTCTTTATAACCGTTTAATTTATTTGAAACAAAATCATTCATTAGGACTTGCCGTGTTAGTATGATACGGTAGGTAATAGTTGACATACTGTGGCGTGTTATTGTTATCGTTTATTTCTCAACACTGTTCAGTCGCCAAGGGCGCGCGGCGCGGCAATCTTTATACTTTTCCTCACAAGACTAGCACATGTCTTGACTGATCTATTATTTTTTTATTAGTACAAATAAGTGTACAAATAGACTACGTAGTATATACCTCAATAGTAAGCAACGTACAACTCGCTGCAATTGTGACAGGTAAATAAAATAGTTGTCGTGGCACAGTTGGCTGTAGCTGAAGTTGGCCATCGACCGTCCGTGGGTCGGTTGTGTAATGGCACGCGAGATGTGCAATTGTGCATACCACCGCTGGCTGCCAGCGGCGCTTTACTCTTGATATAATACATTATCACTGCAATTAGTTAGAAATGGGGTAAAATAATCCAGAGTTAGTACTCGAAGGGCGCCGACGAGGGAGAACATACAAAAGACATCAACGAGTGTCAAAACCTTTGAATACAACTATTTGGGTTTCAAGTCAAAGATGTATTTTATTAAAATAATTTTACACGGATTGAACGTAAATTGTAATGTGGAAGTTATGTGTTGCAGGTCGTTGGTGCGACCCATGCGGTGCGCGTGCGCATCGAGCGCCACGAAGCGCCGTTGAGTCACACCGAACGTTATCGAGCGCGAGGCCATGTTCTCGCGCGCGACGTTACTGCTACTATCGGCGCTTCCCGCCCTTGCAGGTCAGTTACTCTCTTTATTTGCTACCTACAACATTTCAGTCAAACAACAACTTAGGAGGCTATACACGCATTTGATTAGTCCTCGTATAATAACTTTGGTAAAAGAAAATTGACAAATTAAAATTCTAATCCCCACAAAGTAGTAATGGGTCGGTGTGACCACACACGTCCAATGATCCCGATACTAAAATAACACCTTAAGTACACTAGGAATTGGCAAACATCCACATATCGGATTTTAACGCTCCACTAGTAAATAATACACAAAATATCTAACGTGTAGCCGATCTTCAACCGACCGCGACCGCAGCCCGTGCACTCACAGCAGTATAAATCTCATAACGCTTCATTGTTTATATCGGAGTGAAGTAACATGAGGCAGTGAGCGCCACTGCTCAAGGCGAGCCATGTTATGACAGCGGCGTGTCCCTCCGGCGATCCACTAAATACATCTCGTTCCGATAATTATGTATCGGTATCGGCTTCTCGTCAGTAGGATTGTTTATTGCGCCGCGTTGAGATGTCGACAGACGAAAGTGATCCGTCGGATACTTTGATCATCAATATGTTATTATTCTGCGTGTATCTGGTCAAACATCGTGTAGGTTTTATTTATGACTTCAATTGGATTTTTTTCCTTTCACGGTTATTACATTATTAAGTATCCTGGATTGTAACGCACTTTTGTTCTTACTTTTGTTCGCACTGTGCTTTGACACATTACATTTGCGACGTCCGTCCGTTGAGTGCTATTACGCTTGATGAGTAGCGCATATTACGCTTCCTACAATTATGAATCTTGGTTTACTAATCTGCAGTAGTAGTATAATTCTCTTCTATTTCTCTTCTCTTAAAAAAAGACAACTCCCGCATTAGGAATATATTCTGTGTCGCGGGGGACTTTACAAACATACATGAAACGGACACAGAGAACACCCAGGCTCAGAACAACAATTTGTGGATCATACAAAGTGTCGTCCCAGGTGGGGATCGGACCCACAAAGTTAGTGAGCGGCGTGGGGACCGCTTAAACCACTACGCCATCCGTGCAGTCAGTGCAGCACAATGGTTTTAGTTGAGATGTTTAGCTGCTTTCAGTACTTGATGTAGTTCAATCCAATGGTGGACTTGACTCTAACAAAACCTACCTTACGATATTGTTTTTTTTATGGTAGAGTCATTTATGGTGGTCATCTGAGTCGAGAGCCACAAGTGCGTTGAGTCTCTTTGAGCGCGCCCTCCTCTACAATCAGCGCTGGATATCCAGTAACCTCACTCACTATTCCAGCAACGAAAGAACTGCTTAACATCGGTTTTCCGTGAGGCCGTTATAGCACGACGTAATCTTACAAATCTCTATCTATCTATCTAATCAATGTTATGTAGGCACATGTGGTATTTACTTATATTGCCGTTGAGAATGAGCTCATTGAGCAGAGCCGAAATATTCCGGCCGCTTCCTGGTGCCGGTGACACATCAGATCAAACATTCGGACACATGAGCAAAGTGAACACAAACACCACATGTATCGTTGAATCACGCCAGCTGCGACAGAAAGAAAAAAGAAAAGAGTTTTTGTTTAGATTACGCAAAATCGTAGTTGATTCTAATGGCATACCTATTTATAACATAATTTATCTGAATATATGATAAATCAAATCAAATTCTGGACCGACTTTAATAATCTCGTATGTGTGCCAAGGCGGAACCTTAAATGTTTTTTGAGGTGAGTGGAAGTAAAGGTATTCTATAATATGTAATATCTGTACATATGAAAATGTTGTTTGTGTACGCTTGAAAAACTGAAAAATATCGATATACGAATTACAACAAGCTTCAAATATGGTTTATATCTATTTATTGTAACCACAATGTGGTACAGTGAAGCGTGGAAGCGCGTACAGCTGGTAATATTGTATATAATGCTAGAACATTTCTACTCATCCTTTAAAATGTGTTACAAAAATATACGAGTAACCATTGAGTGAATCTTACGCAAACTCTGTCGCGCGAAGCAATACATTTGCGACCGGCCACGCGCCTCTTTGTTGAGATCATACTTTCCAGAATAAATGAGGATACAGGAACAGCAGTTATTTTGTAAGTTCAAGTTAGATTAAATCGACAGTCGATCGATTTAAGGATTTCGTATTTTGTGCGAAGTTTGCTAACAAGGCAGACTGGTGCTTTTCCTCTTTAGTTCGTTATGTACAAGGTTTGTAAATAATAATCGGAAATAAGCACTTTAAAGTGTTAATGTAAAAGTTCTATAAAAGTATTTATACCCGATTCCAAAAAAGAGTTCGCACTCAATTCGATCTTCTTGTGCAATATGCTGTTGCATCGATATTACGATATGGTTTACTCTTAAAATAATAACGCACATTCTAAGGGTTTACTGTTGTGGGGCATTTCAACTTTAATAGATGAATTATTTATATCCCAAAAAATATGCTTACGGGCAATTTGCAATTCCGTGATTCCTGCCTAGATTCCTGCAGACCGCTTTCAGAAAAACTAAAATACTTACAGTAAAGACATCTTTACATTTTGGAAATTGATCTGTTTGTCCGGAACCACCCACAATTATTCAAAAAATCAGCGATAATAGTTCTTCAGTCAACGGGATCCTACGAAGATAGTTCTACCAAAATGTAGGACTGCCCTTTATCATAAAAATAGCATGTTTATGTGTGTCAAGATCTATAACAAAATTACCCAAAATCTAGGAGAATAACTCTTTAAATTGTTTGGTGTACGCCTATAGAAATGGCTAACTGAAAGATGCTTTCACTGTCAAATAATTTTTAGAGTCTAATCATGTAGGTACAAATATATTCAAGTTATTGTTATTCTTTTTTTTTCTTAATCTTTAAATTATTCTATGTCCAAAATGGGCTGAATAAGGTTACTATAATATAATATTATACTATATTACCTACAACTGTATCTACTCAATCAAAACAATAAAGGTTACTTTACTTACTACCCTTCTTTGCGAATTCGCTGTAGTCAAGGTTTGCCATATTTAAATTGAATAGATACGTGTATAAAGTTGAAGCAGAATATACAATTACATTTAGATTTTGATTCTTTGTTGGGGGGTGGATACATTGATTTTGAGGATGGCGTTGTTTGTAGGATGTTGTACCATCGGTGGCGATGGGTGCACCGCGCCGCTTATGTAGGTAAGACGTAGCTAAGATGGAGGACGCGGGTTAGTTACGAGTATGTTATTGTCGCGATGTTGATGCTGCAAGTGGTGCGTATCGTGGTGCGGCGGTGGCGGCGCAAGGTCGCGGCGCCGCGTGAATGGCGCTGACGTCACTTCGCCGTACTCTCGCCCCTCTTGCAGCGCTGCTGACTCACTGCATACATATGCGCTCAACAATGTAAATACTGCAGTTTATGGAATTATTTGCGAATTGTTGCCCTCGTCGACACATTGCACTTTACTAACTTTATTTCGACACCGAAGCTGTATCGAAACGAGCTACGAGTACCTACTCCTATTTGATTGATCTAATAATGACAACGTCCGCGCTACATTTTAAAGCTCCCGATATGTTCGTGACTATGGAACACGTTGCACTAGCCGCAGTCACAGGCTGATTTAGTGGTGCGTGCCGTCGGTCACCGTATCCGATACGTAAAAGATTCTTCATTAAAAATCGATTTAAGTTATTTAATTACAAACGACGTAGAGATTTTTATTTTAACAAAATATGTCAAGCGATTTGTTAATTGGAGCCGCGCTGTCTTAATTTGAATCCTTGTGCAATGTTGTAAGTATATGAACGGTTTTGTTTCACAACCACTACACCGCTCATCAACACGTTGACATATATATAAAGTTGGCACGAGTGTGATTAAATGGCGCTTCCTTTATGTTCGCTATAACGTTAACGTGTTGCGAGATGTCGTAGTGAGATGTGACTTCCCGTCAGCAGCTCCCGCACTGGAGATGAATCAAGCGGATGTGTGAATGCGGGCCGCGGCTCGCTCCGCACGTGTGCGCCTGCGATCCGCCCGCGCCCGCACGACACTTACACCTCACGTTATTGTAGTAACGTCAGAACGTGTCATCTACAGTACCACCCCTAATAGGACCCATAGCATCTGGTCTCGCCTAAAATTAAGCAAAGCACGCATATCAACGCTACAGATCTTCATGCAGTGCATTATATTGCACTAATCGGAGATGTAACCGGCAAAGCCAGCACATTATAGTTAAAAGCACATCGGTCACGGGATATATTGTGATTGTTTGCAAACGCAAAAGAGCGTAATGGCGAGGTCTCCGAAATAACAATAAGTGATGAGGACGATCCTATTTTGAGATGGTAGTACGCTGTCATATTACTAGGATCTCTGAAGGAAGATAATTTTGTAAAATATGACGTAAGACATACAAACACAATCAGGATCTGCGTCTGTTGTGCCTCTTGTCCACTTTCGCGGTGAGCGGTAGGTCTCCTATGCATTACCTTCTAAATAAATACATCTTTAGAAGTTTTGCAAAAAAGGTTTTAATTTTAACAACTTACTCTTCATCCTCATCCTTCCTTTTCCTTTGAGCCTTTTCACCAAACTAGGTCGGAGTCGGCTCTAGGTCTAGTACGAGACGCTAAACTTATATTTTAATATTGACTGCCATCGGACCTCCACAACCCAAGTACTAGGTGATTTCGAAGTACTTACTGCAGAAAGACTGTTTAGGGCTCCAACTACCCGGAACGATTGCCACAGATGTCCCTATGGCAACCAGGACTGACCGCGTAACTGCTCTCCGAGGTACGGAAAGGTCTGTGTTATGAAATGGTCACCCATCCACATACTGACTTGGCTACGATTGCTTAACTTTGCAATGTGTTAACCTACTCGGTTACCACTTAGCCACGACCCCTCTGGACTAGCTGTAACTTTTAATATTATCACGAAATGCCTTAAATTGCATCTTCGTTGTCTTTTTCTTAATTAAGTACACAATTTTCACTTCACAACAAAAACTTTTAAGTATGCCAAAAAAATCGGGTTGGTGAAACCCGCATTAAAATCCGTTGATTAATTTAAAAGATCTAAGCGTACAACACAAAAAAGCGTTCCGGGTAGTTGGAGCCCTAACAACACAAAAATTTTATTTTATACTATGTAAAGATTTAAACAATCACTATTGCTGTTTGCTGTATTTTTGTGCATAAATTTATACAGATACATGTAATGTACATGTACAGCACAAGCCAAGACCACAGCACACTGTCCAAGAGATGGATAGATCTGGTGATGATTTCAATTTACCTACCTTAAACAGTGCCGGCAGTAAAAAAGGTTTCTTACTTGAATAATATTTTGATCTAATTCCTCGATACTAAAAAAACTCATTGAAATATACCTACACAAGTGTCTCCACAACTTTGTTAGTCTGTATCTCTCATACAAAGTAGTAATAAGTAATACGCACCAGGATTTTATTGCGCTCTATGGTGGTTCTATGCATTTAGTATTAGGATTGATGATTATGTAGTACAACCTGGTGCCAATTTTATGCCTTGTTGAGCAACGTAACCCTATTGGTATATTTAATTGTAGTATTTTAGGTACATATATATATCGGTATAATAAACGCCAAACTACAAGATAGCATCAACCACAATGAAAGTATTTAAATATCATAAATGTCCGTGTGGTGACGGATTAAGAATACAGTGTCACCACCCCTATTCATCCCGTGGGTGTCGTAAGGTCGTAATCCTGTGTCCCCCGCGACACAGGATATATTCCTAGTGCGGTAGTTGACTTTCTTTTGATGCGATGTAGCTTTAAAAATTTACACATAGTAAATTTTGCAGATTAAACATTAAAATTATTACTCTTGTCTAACTACTATTAAGATTAAGAATACAGATTGTCATTACCCCTATTCATCCCGTGGGTGTCGTATGAGCCGACTAATTGAGAAAACTAAGCAGAACAACAGCACTGCAGAGAGAAGGAAAACTTGACACAAACCCTATACCAACCCGTCTGGCCAGCATGGTATAGTAGGCCAAAACCTCCTTTCTAAGGAGAGGCTTATGTCCGGCAGTGGACTGTTAAAGGCTGTTGATGATGATGATGATGATGAAATATCTTAGTAGCGTGCCTTAATAGCCACTCCTGTCAATTTCACCTCCGTTTATCTCTTCTCTGAATTAAGGGTCGTAGGTTGATGATTTGTAGACTAAATTATTCCTCAATAAATACTACACAATACAACAAAAACAAACGTTTAAACAGACTGACAGTTCTAGGGATTAGTGACTTTGAACAAAACGAAAATAAATAATAAGTTTGAACAAAAGTACCATATTTGTATATACATATGGTACAATGCTATATGGTACAAAATTGTAGCAATACCTAGTTAAAGTTGAAGAGACGTTCACCACTATTAAATTGTTATGGCTATTAATTATTTCTAAAATAGCGGCAATTAACCGCATTGTGACATTGCCGGGGTTTGGTTTTTAGAGCAAACGGACGAAAATAACATGCGTCCTGCGTACCTCCGCACTCCTCACTCCGCAGGCGGGCGCTCTTTGCTAGAGCTTACGCTGCCAACATTCCTATGTATGGTTACTGTTACAAGAAAGGCAAAATCTGGTATCCAGAACGGTGTCCAATGCCGCAAAAGTTCAGCTGAAGTATGTACGTACAGAACGGCATTGGCGACAAGACCAACTTTACATAGGGGCTCACAAACTACGCTTTATGTATGTCTGATTACTAACTATAATACTACTAATGATAATGATGCAATGGTAGCAGTATTGCATAGTATTGTATAAGTAAGTACCGACGAAGAATGTATTACGTTAGTCCATAAACGTCACCATTTTATAACTGCTTTCAATGGCGGCCAATAATGCAGAGGTATCTCTGAAGTGTAAAGTTTTTATTATTATTTATAGACCTACGGATGGAAACGAAAAGATTGTTAATGCTTGTTCGGTGTATGGACACGAGCCAGTGATCGAAGCTCGACCTACAAACAATTGGCACGTTCACCGAGTAGCTGATTGTTGCTTTAGGCAATATTACGACCACGCAGTTTGAGATGAAAGGGCCACTGGTTAAAATGTTTACACGAAGCGTCGCCTGTCATCGCGCCGTCTCATTCTCCTCACTCCTCACTCATTCGTACGTAGAGACGTGCTGCTGCTCCTTGTACGTACCAATACAGTCACTAGTTCCACCGAATTCTGTCGATTTGAAAAGCAAGTTTCGGTCCATTTTGGTCGAAGGTCAAAGTTGCGGTCGGACACTACCCAACACATAGGGAATGTACCTATACCAGTAGGAGTAGTAATCAGTGGTTGTAACGCAATGTCGGATCAGTACTTGTACAAGGATCCAAGTGCGTTTAACATGTGTAAGGTATGTCAAAGATTGTATTGTAAAGGTTATTTGTTGAGTAGTGGCGGCGCCCTGTTGCAGGAATGGCGGGGGGCGAGGTGGTGTCGGTTGTGACGGGGGCCGCGGCGCCTGCCTTCGTTCCTCACCAACAGACGCTGGTGGTGGCGCCGCTCGGCCACGCCGCCTCATTGGATTGTACAGTCTACAGGCTTTTAGACAAGTCGGTATGTAGTTTCTCTGTTATTAATGAGTTATTAGTTTATTACACGATACAAAAACAAAATTTCTTCAGGAAGCAATGACGGTAAGAAACAATTACTCTATCTAACGGCAGTAGTTGCACAGAAAGCCTCATCGTTACGCTTTCTGTTATGTTTATTGTTACACCTTGTAATGTTTATTTTCTACTGAACTTATGACAATAAAATTCTATAGTAAAGACCACTACGTAATTACGTGGTAATACATTACTACGCTGGCTTCTGATGGAGACAAAGTGTACCGACATAATAAGTATGAGCACCGTGTAATTTGTACTTTTTGACCACTTCTACAAATTGCCTGGCTTTAACCACTTTTAGACCGAAGGTCATGTATATCATAACAGAGAACATTAAGGTAGAAGTAACATTCGCAATAAATTATGAACTATACCACTATAACTTTACTTTTTACCAACAATCCAAGAAATCAAATAATAAATCCGGTGGATGGAGAGTTACCTTGCTTGCGGCTTGTAGCCGCTCGAGCATCTCGACTGTTCATAGCTATAAAGTGTTGTACGCGGGCGTTTCATTACTGTCGGACGTTACTCATACATAACAAGATTTGTACGAATAAATATTAAAGTAGAAGCGTGGAATGATAAATTACTCACTCGATTCTAAATCGAAATAAAGTCAAAAGCCCGAAACGAGCCTCGTAAACAATTCAAATAGTGTGCTAGAAATAAACGCACATGAATCGACGAGTATGAAATGTGAAACGATTTAAGAGATAACATGAGACAAGGGGCGGAGGGCGGAGGGACAGTGGCACGCGAGCGATGCCGCGCGGGAGGCGGTGACACGCGCATCCTTGGGCGACGTCAGCGCGCACGGCTATAACCGTCCACCTGACACTGATCGTGAGCGATGTGAAAAATGCCGGTCAACGACTCGCTGCGCACCCCCCTGGGCCAGCGACGCATTTAGCGGCACGCGCCTCCGCCCCCACACGCCTATTAACTTCCCGGAAGAGAGCGCTGCCAAACTATCATTTCGCGAAATGTTTGCGTCGCAACATAATCGCATTTTTGTATTTACTCGTCATCCTCGGCCTCGGAGAGTTCAGTTTGCTGTGTTTCCTCTTAGGGAGAATAGAATTAAAAGTTGACTACAATGTGAACTTTGTGGGTCACCTATTGGAATAGCAGAGCCTCTTCCGCACCCGGTCGACCATGAAACTTCACATCACATCAAAAGCCTTTAATAGTCCACTCGGACAGTGGACATGGGCATGCAACTTAATGAATATTATAAACCTCCTTTCTAAGGAGAGGCTTATGTCCAGCAGTGGACTATTAAAGGCTGTTGATGATGATGATGATGAATCAACTATCTTCGTTATCGCCATTAGAGAGGGTGCGCCAACGAGAGCAGGTGCGACATGACCGTCCTTTAGCGAAACTGATAAATAAACCTACCACAATAAATAAAATAAGTGCATTATCGCAGAGTATGCTGAACATATGAATGTTAACAATAAACATAGAATCAATTAACGTATTTGAATGACAAATAGAAATGACAACCTAATACCAACCCCTCTCCCGATTCCTTCAAATATTATGTAAACCTGAATCTGCTGTTTAGAGGCTGCTAAGACTTTTGTTATAAAAACATACAATACGAAACAAATGTGATATAATAAGGACGTGTACGATGGCCGCAGGTGTCGTGGGTGCGCTCTCGGGACCTGCAGATTCTGTCGCACGCCGGCGTGGTGTTCACGGCGGACGCGCGAGTTTCGGCCACCTCCGGCGTAGAGGGCGCGGGGTCCAGCCGCCACTCGCTGCGCATCGAACGACTGCGCGCCAGCGACGCAGGCCGCTACGAGTGCCAGGTCAACACTGAGCCCAAGATGAGCCTGTTCTTCAACCTCACAGTCGTAGGTCAGTCTAAGTCCGAGCGTGATAATTCTTCCAAACTCAAAAGTGGCGACAAGAAGTATTAGATGCGATCATAGGCGTGCATGTACAGTCGAGAGGTGTTTCAGATGAGCCCGTGCCGACGGTGGTGGTATCGGCGGTGGGCCCCAGCACGGTGCTGGGCGTGGAGGGCGGCGCGGCCACACTGGCGTGCGAGGCGCGCTACGAGCCGCCGCCGCGACAACTGCCACTCGCAGCGCTCGAAGTGCGCTGGCACCGAGGCGACGAGCTTATCAACTTGCAGGTATCTTTTATCTAAACACGAAAAGCGAGCGAAACTGCCAAATAAGTAATTAACCGTGGTAAATAAACTTATGTTGAGCTATTCTGACGTCCCTTTTCATCGAGTGAGTTTCACAACAAGCGAGATCGACCGAAATGGTCCCATTTAAATTTCATATACATCTCTGATGAGTTTTGAAGACAGCCAACGGAACTCTTCAATCACAATTGAGAATTTAAATTTTAACGCGCTATATGTCCAGCAGTGGACTGCGATAGGCCGATTATGATAGATACTGTATTAAGGAAGACAAAGTCAATTAGGTAAACGTTTAGCATATTATAATGTAACGACCGAAGTCTCACTTCGCGACCTGTCTCGAGTGAGTCGTCGCAACCGAATAACGGTTCATCGCAGCCGATGGTCATTTTTTGTGGTCGCTTCGAGTGCGGTGCGTGAGTGTCTCGCTCGTGTCGGCAGAGTTCCCGGGGCGGCGTGTCGCTGGACACGGAGCGCTGGGCGGCGCGGTCGCTGTCGCGCCTGACGCTCGCGGAGCTGGGCGCGCCCGACGCCGGCGAGTACGTGTGCGCCGCCGCGGGCCGCGCCGCCGCGCTGCGCCTGCGCGTGCAGCGCCCCACGGGTCAGTGACACTCTACTGCTTACTTACTACTACTAGAGGAAATGGTCGTTGATTGTGTGTATATATATATATATAACGGAAACGGCTTCAGAGATTTTCATGGGCATTTTCATTTCGAGGGCGATTAATCGATCTAGCTAGAAAAGTTACAAACGGTTACAAGGGTAGAATGAAAGAACCAAACTTCAAACTTTAAAAAAAAAAAGGTTAAAATCATCTTTTATGTTGACTCTAAAGTCGTAGATCGACACACACAATGGCTACGATCTCTGTTTTGTCAAAAAGTTAGCAAAAAAATAAATAAAAAATATTATTTTACAAAATCTATGATATGCCTGTTCCGATCTACGACGGCCCGTTTCAAAGGGGTTGAGCCTATCGAAGGGCAATATCGAAGATATATCTGCAAATTCTTGTCAGTCAAATAATCTTCTATTAAATTAGACCCCTTATCGATGAATAACTTTTTAATATCCAATTTAAATGTATATCTTATAGCCAGAACTCTTAACCGGTATAAAATATTTTAACCGTCATTGAGCATGAGGAATTATGACCGCTGCATCGGATATGATCGGAAAGGGTCCCGTATTGCCGCCCTGTCCACTCGACGATGACCGGCTGGAGCTACTCCGCGGCGGCAGAGACAGCACGTGGAGCCTCCGGCCGGGACGACCGACGAGCTATGGTGGTTCGGCGAGCGGCCTCACTCCACTCGCGTACCTCTCGGAGCGATCGCCTCTATTATTGGGTAATCATTTGGATTAGATGAGATTATAACATCATACGACGTCGCGCTCAAAAGTACTTTTGACCGGTTAAGAACTCTGACTGTAACATATACAAAGGAAAGCAATAATTAAGTGAATGGGACGTGAGTAACTCGTTCCTCTCCGGGCGTGCAGAGATGAGCGCGGAGGCGATGCAGCGCGACGAGGGCGAGCCGGCGCCGGGCCGCGCTGCGCCCCCCGCCGCCGCCGCCCCCCCCGCGCTGCTCCTCCTGGTGCTGGCGGCAGGCGTGCGGTGACATTTTCTGCTGTAACACTGTATCTATATTGAACGGTTAACATTTAAAATGCAGCATTTAAAGTCCGTGTCCCGTCTGAGGTGTGTTTATCTTCTGTATATTTTGACGTTGTAAATACTGTACATATTATTGTAGTTTCGACCGCGGAGAGAGGTGAGAACCGAACAAATAAATATAAAGATAGTACCTTTGTTTCTGTGACCCCGATACTCCCACCCCTAGACGACTTACTGCAACTCTCTAACTTATGTTTAATTTATAAATATCGATATCAGCACATATCTGCTGAGGCAGATTGACCCAACACCGCCAGTAGACAATTTAATGCAGGGTTGTTGCTGATTCAGGTTTTACTGTATCAGCGGATGCTGATTTTTTCAGATGAAGATCAGCCGATGGTGATATTAATAGTTTGCTCCCTATTCCATAAAAAAACCTAGTAGTAGTAATAAGTAAGAATGGATTATTACACGCATTACGCATGCACGTCACACAATATACCTAAGTATCACTAACGGCCAATCAATTTATGTTGATAAAACAATCAAATGAGTGAACAAATGACAGCTTTTTTAGCCGACTTGACCAAGGAATGATTATGTTTTTTTCTATAACTGTTTATGATTGCCTTCTAGTTCTCGAACACGCTACGACTTGAAAGTCATCATTTAAAATCAGCATGGATTGTTGCGGATCCTGATATTAAAAACAATGTTGATAATCGGCTGATATTCGCAACGACCCAGATTCAAACTTTGCGCGCTCGTACTGTCCTCTACCATTCGACGCCCTAAACTTAAATTATCAAAAAAAAAAATCGTTTCCTACGAATTCTTGGAAAATTATTGGCCAGGGGCGGGATTTGATCGATGAGTCACTATTTTCTTAACGCCAATGGGCTATAGTATAGGCCTTCCATAAATACTGTAACAAGGAAAAATATATATTTTTTTCTATTGCATAAAACATTTATACATTAATATAAAAGCATTAAAAATATATACAGCTCATTAAAAATGATCTCCATTGGCTTTAATACAGGCCTTTACACGTTAAGGCCCATTATCAAGAGAAACAAACACTCTCTCCATTTTCTTATTATATTATTACTTAAGAAATTGTTTTCATTTTACCATCCTATTCATTTTAAATTAATTATCAGTTAAATAATGATAATGGCGCGTCTTATAGACTGCAAGAAAAAAATGAGTTGGTATTCATATGAGGAATAATTATGATATTAATATTTAAAAACCAAAAACATAATTATAACAGTAATTTTATTTAACAATGTTATGGTTTTACACATATCCAGTCCAATGGTTAACAATTTCCACAATATGAGCTAAATCTTGGGTTGAGTTACTTCTAGATCACTACTGAGTAGTCTGCAATAAGGTATAGCAGTGTCGGACCCCTGTTGGTATGTCTGTTGATGTGATTAGTGTGTGCCATAAACATACTTCCATAGGCTAATTATATCTAAAGCAAACTGGGCACATTTCTAAAACCAGGATACAATGGAGCATGTTGAAGTTTGTAGGTGAAGAACAAAAGTTTGAAATATGAATGGTAACATAAATCATCTACTGTAAGTATAATCCACATTTTAGACTGCATTGACACACACACACTACAGTAACCACCATAATACATATTATCATGCACTTATGATGCCAACCGTGGTAAACATTCAGTTATACACATCACTTGATGGGTAACAGGATTTCATTTTATGCCTATAATATATATGAGTATTCACATGTCATATAGGTTAACATCCTCTTCAATTAGAGAATTAACTATAGTGCCATCAGACAACCTGGTTTCAGGCCTTAAGTAGCCACACTGATGTGCAGCCAACCCCTTTCCATCAGTCGGCGAGCAATGCGGGCCAACCTGATCAGTATTTTATTCTTGATTTGTTTTTATTGTCAGTATCTATATTTGTAAAAGTGCTGTTTTTAATATGATTTTACATGTGATAACTAATATCATGATACATGACAGCAATAATGGTTTTAATGTTGTGTATCCTCCTCATATACACTAGGAACTAAAGATCTAACAAATTTTTCTAGGGCCCGAAGTGTGGTAGTGTTTAACTTTTCAAAATCAATTTCAAATTCATTATCATTTACAGCTCTGTAAGATGGCTGGTGAGTCTGAATGATGTCTACAACTCTGCCAAGTCCTTCACCTGCAAATTATAATAGATATGTGGAATCTGTATTAAAGGTTTTTATAGTACCTAGTTGTAATTTTTTTGACTTTTCAAAATTCTTTTATCAATTTTTTTTCTTTATTGTTGTTACACTTGTTAATGCAGAGTGGCATTATAGTTTTGAATAATCATAAATGTCAATTAATTCAAAGTGATTATTGTAAACTGATCCTATAGCCTTAGAACTGAGCAAGGTCACGTTAGGCATCTAAGACAGGATTACCTGTTAACATGTTGATGCCGAATGAAAGATTTCGCAACTCCTGATATGTCATGGGCCTGCTGTCTGGTGTCTGAGATGGTGATGGGTCACCACCGTCCCCTCTACCATCAGCGCCCACCGATGTATAAGGTTTCTCGCGCTCTGCTGTTTATAAAACAACGTAAAGAATAGGTTAAATATTTTTCTTGACAAACGTGTAACCGCAACTGCAACTGCGTACAGGATTTAGTTCTTTTAGAACAACTTACACATGGTTTTATAACTAACGCACGACTAAGTTTCTATTCGTTAAAAAGTCAATATAAAAGTAAAAATAATGTAAGAAGTGCATTTTGACAGGTGAAACTGACGTTCTGTGATGACTGACGAGAGAACGCAACTTTGCATGATTTGAACAAAACATAAAACTATTCTAATTTATGTTAAACAATTTTTAAATAAATAATAATTTATACTACTGAGTTGAAGTGTGACATATTTCAGTTTTCTCTACAAATAATTTAAATAATCAGTTACGTTCTATTCTATGATTTATTTTTAATTCTAGTGTGGTCACATTTAATCGTTGCAAAGGTTTTTTTTATGGAATATTGTGCAAATGAGCAGACGGGTCATCTGATGGAGGAATTCGACTGTCAATGCCAACTTTCCTTCGATGTCTGCTTTTAAATATTTCAGCTGAAAATTCCTGACCTTTTTTTTTTAACGGGGGAATGCTTTTCGCACCATACCCTTCGTTGGGGAAACGCAGGGCGTGTGTGGGACTCCCTGAGAACCGGTCTACCCACTAACCCCGTGGCGGCCTACCTCGGCAGGAGCTCCAGGAACGCATCGGCGACTTCTGGAGTCCTCCGTGCCGCACCTCATGTCTGAGGCACATCCCGGAGTGACCGTAGTCACCCTGGGGCAGCACGCTACCGCACCTCTCACTGCTCTACAGAGTAAAAGGCGCAACGGCGTCCCGCCTTAGACGACACCTCCCGGCCGCACCGGAGTGTCATCTATCTCGGGTCGTTTACAGCGGTCACATCGCCCCAAGGTGTGGCCGGAATTTTTTATACTATTGTATTCTATAAAAAGTTACAGGTATTCCTGTGTTCCTTTATGCCTACTCTTATTTTTATCCCTACAAACCGTAATACAATACCAACTTTAGGATAGTAGATATAAGAATTCCTGTTGTGCCATTATCACAAAAAATTCATGCAGATCAAAATGTTCAGAGCAGATGTGTTCAATACAAAGAAAAAACATGCGAATATAATGATAATTTAATTAAAATAATGATATCTGCACGAACAATGATTTATATAAATTCAATTATAATTAACTTCTTATTAAGTACTTAAAAATCTATTGCTGTTCCTAAGTCTCTTAACCTATTTGTTTTATTTTTATTTTGTGCGCTTTAAAAAAAATAGAGAAACCCAGTATCTGCTGGACGGGTCATTACAATTAAAATAACTTTAATACTTCGGCTAGAAATAACATGGCTTAATCTTTCCAAGCAAGTTTGAATCTTAATTTTATATAAAATAAAATATCAAAAATTCTATACTGCGTTAATTGTACGATGTGCATTACCATAACAGTTAACCAATGGCAACACTTTAGGTCGCATCCATTGTTTAATGAAATAGGACGAAAAATTCATTCTACTTCGAATGATCCACTTCATCTGAAATCTCGAAATGTAAACTTAAGAATCTTATGGTCGAATCTTTGATGAGATGTCGGAGGCGAGGAGACATTTTAAAGCCAAATTGAAATGGTGTCAGACTAGCCAAGAGCAATTCGAAATGGATATCCTTGCATCAATCCACTCATCTAAGGATTTAAAAAATTTTTGGAAACATACCAATAAAAAAATTGAACATTCGGTCTAGCCTGCCTATGAGTGTCGGTGGTTGCGCTGACCACAAGGACATTGCCGAGGCTTTTAGAGAGCACTTTACTGTGCGGTTTCCCTTGGGTCCCACGTCTGGTGAGGTGAGCGATGGTGAGCCCATTGTGATGGGCGGAATATAAAGATATCTGCAAAGAGTGTGGCTAACATTATTAAAAAAATGCAGCGTGGAAAATCACCTGGTCACGATGGGCTTAGTATCGAGCATCTTAAGTATGCGGGGGTTCATCTGCACCAGGTACTGTCTATGTTTTACAGCCTGTGCATAGGTGACTCGTATTTGCCGGAGCCGCTTATTTTTTTATTTTTTTATGGCTAACCAACAATTGTTTACACTGCATCTTACAATTTAATTTTAAAGGTTAACACCGCATGCTTAGAATATTATAAAAGTATACAGCTTAAAAATGAAATAAATCTTAAATTAGAGAAATAATTATAACAACTTTTTTTTTAATGATGACAATAACAAATTATAAATTTAGTACAATGAATAAATAAAACCAATGCAACACAATTTTATCAATACACTCAATTCATAAATTAACCAATTTTATTATAAAAGTTGACAATAGTACTGTAAAGTTTCCCAATGTTATCGCTATAAATATCTACTATGTCACTGCTGCAAAACTGATCTGCGTGAAGGTGGGTATAAGGGCGTGAGAGTGTTTCTAGGATATCTAGATGGAGCCCGGAATTTAATCAGATCAAGCAAGCAAGGGCAACTAATTTGATTACGCAGAAGTTTAAATCCAAACAATGCATCCACAATCATCCTCCGCACCGACAGTGGTTGCATCCTGAAGTACTGCAGACGTGAGTTGTACGACGGCAACTGTTTAGTTTTCCCCTTACGTTTTTGAACGCGCTCCAGTCGCAGCATATGTACAGCATAGTGAGGTCGCCAAACAACACTACAGTACTCCAAGATGCTCCGCACAAGACTATTGTATAACACAATCTTTGTTTTGCTATTCTTAAAACCTCTAGAATTACGCAGTATAAATCCTAACATTCTAGATGCTTTCTTAGTTATGCTATCTAGATTTGGCAAGAAGGTAGCCTTTTTGTCAAATACAACTCCTAGATCCCTGATTGTTTCCACTTCTTGAATTTTTATATCATCAACTAGGTATTCTGATGAAATATTGTAAACCTTCCTAGTAAACTTTATATGATAGCATTTGCTGGTATTCAGTTCCATTTTGTTGTTTCTGCACCATCCAATCACTCCATTTAAATCATCCTGCAAGAGCTCTGTGTCATTTAAACTTTCTATTGTCCTGGCAAATTTCAGATCATCAGCGTACAGAAAACATTTCGAATGATGCAAACTGTATGGTAGGTCATTAATGAATATATTAAACAGTATCGGCGCTAAATGGGAGCCTTGTGGTGCCCCAGAAGTAATATCACGGTTTGTAGATTTGAAACCATTTAGGACAACAAAGAATTCACGGTTAGTTAAGTATGATCTAATCCAATCCAAAAGAGGTCCAGTAATTCCGTAAGCTGTTAGTTTGTACATCAGTATAGAGTGTAAAATTTTATCGAAAGCCTTACTTAGATCAGTATAAATAACATCAAACTGTTTATTTGTATCAAGAGCTTGCATTAAAGACTCTGTAAAAGTTACCAGTTTGTGCTTGTCGACCTAGCCGCTATAAAGCCATGTTGATGATCACTGACATATGACTTAAAGTGGTTTTGTATATGGGCGCTGATCGAAGACTCAAATATCTTTGCAAATGTAGATATAATTGAAATTGGTCTGTAGTTTTTTATATTATCTTTACTTTCAGCTTTGTGAACGGGGACAACTTTAGCTGTTTTCCATTCTGATGGGAAAGTGCCTGACAACAGTGATGTGTTATAAATAATTAAAAGCGGCGAAACCAGTCCCAATGCACATGTAGAGATAAATATTGGTGGTATGCCATCCGGACCCGCACCTTTTGCAATATTTAACGTTTTTAACTTTCTTAATAAACTGTTTCTGTCTAGAACCGGGTTAGTTAGGTATTGACTGTTATTTATTAAATTTTGCAAATTGTCAGACCCGTAATTACTGTCATCGTCGTCCAAAGTGTAGACTGAAGAAAAGTGGTTAGCAAAGAGATCACAAATGTTTGGGCCACTAGATGTTGTAGTTTGTCCATCAGTCATAGTCAAAGGGTATGTACTAGTTCCACCGCGTCTAAATTTTGACACCGTTTTGCAATTAGTTTTAACTCAATTTTATCCATGGGATATTTATATTTTTTATAACGGAGCCTAATATTTTGTTTTTCTTTTAATGATCTAATTAGTGATCTATTAAACCAGCTAGGGTATCGGTTGTTTAAGGGTTTACTATTAGGTACGTACTTATCAATAGCTATTCGCAGAACATTAGGTATAAAATATTTTCAACATTTCATTTACATTACTTTTGTTCGCAAAGAGCTGATACCAGTCCTGTTCATTTAAAAATCTTTAATCTTTCCATAATTTGCTTTATGGTAGTTAGGTCGTGTAATTAGTTTGCTGTAAGGTAGAAACTTTTCCTTTACCAAAAACAAGGAAATATCTAAGGGGGGATGCAGCTTATCAATTGCTGTCAACGTGCTAGCAGACTTGTTTACTGAACAGGTTGGCAGCGTGGACAAGACTAGGTCTAAAATGCGCCCAGAACCATTTTTGATGTGGTTGTACTGTGAGAGTCTAGCAATATCCATGAAGTCTAAGATTGCTTGACACATACTAGGCAATGAGTTATAGTCAATGAGTTATGCGGACAAAAGTCGTTCCTATAGTTAAAAACACGACGGGAGATACATCTGATATAGGTAATTACCAGCCTATCTCGCTCGCTACCACAACAGCCAAGGTGCTTGACAGTTTGCTAAATAGTAGCCTCAACGAACAGGTTGAGTTGCACGATGCACAGTTCGGTTTCAGAGCAGGGGTCTCAACAGAGAGCGCTATTCTGAGTATGAAGCGAACTGTCGGGTACTACACAGCGAGGAGGACGCCGGTATATGCGTGTTTCCTCGACTTGTCAAAAGCTTTTGATTTGGTTGCCTATAATATGCTGTGGGACAAGTTGAGGGATGCGGTGTGCCGGCGAAGTATACCTCCCTCCTCAGATATTGGTACTCTAATCAAAAGAACCGAGTGAGATGGGTGGGTACTCTGTCGGGCGAGTACAGGCTGAAATGCGCAGTTAGACAGGGAGGATTAAGCTCGCCTCTGCTATTTAATTTTTATATGAACCGGCTTATCGAGCGACTGAGCGGCACACATGTCGGCTGCCATATTGACGGAACCTGTGTTAATAATATAAGCTATGCAGACGATATGGTGCTGCTCAGTCCATCCATAAGTGGGTTGAAGAGGTTGATATCGATCTGTGAGGCCTATGCGGCGGAGCATGGCTTGATATACAACTCGAAAAAGAGTGTTCTACTCATATTTAAAGCGCCTAATCAGCAATCACGCATTGTTCCGCCCATAAGTCTCAACGCCGTAGCACTAAACACTGTAAATAGTTTTAGGTACCTGGGCCACATTGTCACGAGCGACCTAAGGGACGATGGAGACATAGAGAGGGAGCGCAGGGCATTGTCTGTGAGGAGCAATATGCTTGCCCGCAGGTTTGCTCGTTGTGGCGAGGATGTCAAAGTAACCCTTTTTAGGGCGTTTTGTCAGTCTTTCTACGCGAGTGGCCTGTTTGTGTCATACACGCGACGGGCGTACAATGTCCTGCGTGTTCAATATAATAATGCGTTCAGGATGCTGTTGGGGCTGCCGCAGCGCTGTAGCGCATCGGGTATGTTCTCGGAGGCTCGCATAGATGATTTCTACACAATTATGCGAAAGAAAGCGGCTTCCTTACTCCAGCGCCTACATGACAGTGACAACAGCATTCTGAAAATGATCGCTGCCAGACCGGACTGCCCATTCCAGAAACAATGGGTGGGGACAGTCATAGGTCTATACAAATAGTTAATTTAACTAAAAATGTAATTACTAATAATACTAACCTATCAACTTAAGCACTATTGTTACTAACACTAAAATACTAACATAAATATGGACCATAAGTCTGAAATAAACTTTTATTATTACAAAGTCAAGTAAATGCCACGGGTTCTTGGGCGAAGTTTTTTAAAGCTTTTTGAAGAATCGTGTAGGTAGGTATTAGGTTTCAGATCAATGAGTTTTAAACTATGATGTATATGTTTCGGAATAATACCGGTCGTGGACAATACTATAGGGACAATGTAAACTTTTTGTTGTTTCCAGATTCTTAAAACTTCATCCTTAAGGTCTATGTTATATTTGTGTATTTTTTCTGCTATTGTTTTTTGTAGGTTGTGAATATTTGGAACAGCTATATCGATCAGGTAAGTAGTTTTATTTATTTTGTCTTGAACGGTTATATCGCGGCGGTTGTAATGTATGGTTCTATCGGTTAGTATTGCACGGTCATAGTATATTTTATGAGTGTTGTGCTTTAGGGATAGCCAAAACTGCTTTAGGGATATATTGGTAGTATGGTGTACGTGTGTCCGGGATGAGTTCGTGTTTGAGTGCTATTATTATTATTGATACACACTGACACCACATTAGTAGTATCTACATTGCACTCAGCTTGGCACGCACGGCGGATCGCTAATACTTTTATAAATAAATTTAAAAGAGAGAGAGTCCAGTCCTCAGAGTGCCCTCCCCTCAGACTTATGGGGTCTTATGAGGACTTATGGGCCTCCTTCGGTAACATCAATCACACGATGGAAAGCAACGAAAATATTGCTTAACACGGACTTCCTGTGAGGCCGTAGTATAACTCTAGTCGATCTGGTCCAAGGTATCGTGGACAGGATCAAGTTCATTGACTAATTGAGTCGCGCCGCGTCATCCACACGTGCGGGTTACACTTGTGTATACCTCTCGAGCGAATTAAAGGAGTTATATTTGAAGACTATATCTTGAGTTTTGTGTACTTAGTTATATACTCTGCTGATTACAAATTCCATAGACGCACAAAGTCGTAAGTATCGTAAGGTTTCAATAAAAAGAAATAAAATGATCTTGATCTGATCTTCCAATGAGAGTGCATCTGCACAAAATAAAAAGGTCGCCTGGTGACCTTTTTATTTGTGTCATATGAAACATTTAGTCAAAACCTACATTTTTCATATTAGGTATATTCATAATTGTCTTTCATTAATTACTTAGATATTATCACCTAAGATGGGTAAAAATGGGTACCCCTTTTTAATATTAAGTAGCTAATTAATCAATTTGATTCAAATATTGTGATAGTAATAATCTTAGATATAATGATTTATAAATAAACAGGATCCTTATCAAGTAGAGGGAGAGGTGCAGAGGTCGGTAACCGCGCGGTCGCGGGCAGTGTTGCGAGTTGCCCTCAGTTGTTCGCACAGTGAGCTACATACTAGTGCTTCGCTATCGCTGCTCTACACGCACCGCTACAAGTATTTGTACATACGTTGCTCGGCGACTTCCTAGCGATGATTACATTAGTGATATTAGTAGTGGCACTGCTCGCGCTCTACCTGTACGGCACCAGAACCTTCAAGTACTGGGAGAAAAGAGGAATCAAACACGATAAACCGGTGCTGTTTTTTGGAAACAATTCGGAATGTTATCTTTTCCGAAAGAGTATGACGCAGGTTGGCGTCGATACTTACTGGAAGTATCCAAATGAGAGGGTCGTAGGATTCTTTCGTTCCACGCGACCAGAACTGTTGATTCGAGATCCCGCCATCATTAAACGTATACTATTGACAGACTTTGCGCACTTCTATCCGCGCGGCCTAAACCCTCACAAGACTGTGATCGAGCCATTGTTACGTAACTTATTTTTCGCTGACGGCGACCTGTGGCGTCTACTGCGTCAACGAATGACCCCAGCGTTCACGAGCGGCAAGCTGAAGGCGATGTTCCCACTGATCGTGGAGCGCGCCGAGCGTCTGCAGCTACGTGCTCTCAACGCCGCCGCCGCCGGACGAGCGATCGACGCGCGCGACTTAATGGCGCGCTACACTACCGACTTCATCGGAGCTTGCGGGTTTGGCCTCGACGCAGATTCTCTTAATGATGAGGATTCAGCCTTTAGAAAACTCGGACTCACTATATTTAACATCGGCTTCAAAGATGCCGTAATAGCAGTTTTAAAAGAAATTTTCCCCAATTTATTAAAACATTTAAGGTATTTAAGTAGAGCTGAAAAACCGATGTTTGATCTCGTATCAGCCATTTTAAAACAAAGAAATTATGAGCCTTCGAAAAGAAATGATTTTATTGACTTAATGTTGGAATGCCAGAAAAGAGGCAAAATGGTTGCAACATCATTAGAGAAGGTGAAATCAGACGGTACGCCCGAGATTGCGTCCATGGAGCTGACAGATGAACTGGTGGCCGCGCAGGTATTTGTGTTCTTTGCGGCAGGGTTTGAGACGTCTTCATCTGCCACCAGCTTCACGCTCCACCAACTCGCCTACCACCAAGAAGTGCAGCAGAAAGTGCAGCACGAAATTGACCAAGTGCTCTCCCGATACAACAATAAGCTGAGTTACGACGCCATCAGGGAGATGACGTACTTGGAGTGTGCGTTCAAAGAGGGTATGAGAATGTTTCCGTCGCTGGGGTTTTTGGTCAGGGAGTGCGCGTGCACCTACACCATTCCTGAGTTGGATGTGACAATTGATAAAGGTGTGGGCATCATCATACCGCTACAGGCTCTGCACAACGACCCCAAATACTTTGACGAGCCACATGAGTTTCGGCCGGAGAGGTTCGGGGCGGGTGCTACTGACCACAGGAACAAATATGTGTACTTACCGTTCGGCGATGGACCTCGAGCCTGCATAGGTATTTATTATTCGATTTTTTATTCTCACGTTCATTTAGGGTCATACGGCTTTACTTGCGTGTGTATTTGAGGGATGCACAACCAACTTCGGACTTGGTCGGCAACCTTTATCAAGGTCTGAAGAGACCTTTCGCGTCGGTCTCAGACGCTGCACACTTTTACTCGCAATTAAAACCGTATGTCTTTGATAAATGTAACTTTGACGAAATAAATAATTCTATAATAATATTTCTTATATTTGATGATGGTTGATGTCTCAAGTGAAAGTGTTTTGATTGTTAGGTGAACGGTTAGGCATGATGCAGTCCCTGGCAGGGCTGGCGGCGGTCCTCTCGCGCTTCTCGGTGGCTCCAGCGGAGACCACTGTACGTCACCCTGTCATCGAACCCAAGTCGGACATAGTACAAGGCATCAAAGGTGGACTACCGCTTTTGTTTATCGAAAGATATTCTGCTTGTTTGTAAATAAGTTTAGGGTTCAGAATGCAATGTGAAAATGTACAGGTTATGTATGACTTACTATACACAAATGTGTTATTATTTAATGCGGCTGTATTTTTTTCTTAATGTTACTCTTTTGAACATCTTATGTACATACACAATAGTCTCAGCTCCTTAAAGGCAAGCAAACCCCCAAGCCAAGTAGCAGGTCTGGGCTGTAGCTTGTTGTTTATCGAATGTTCCGAGAGAGTAGTCCTTAAGAAATACTGATAATTCGAAAATAACATAATATCTGTCGGTAGCGTTACCGCTAATTGTTTGCAAGCACTAAGCCTTAGTTGAAATGAGCCGTTTTTCAATTAAGATAACATCGTTTAACTATAATATATACTTAAGTGTAACATCTTTTCTTTGGTTTCCTGTAAATATTTTTGGGCGTTGTTATATAAAAATTATTAACAAGGATGCTAAGCAAGTGATTGATTGCTAAGCCGGGCGTTCGATTACCACCTAGGACAAATGTTGTGATGATCATTCATTCCGTGTCAGGGTGAGTGTTCACGGATCGGATTCATAGCCTTAAAGCAAAATTAGAAAAATTATATATTTTTTCTTATACGAGATGTCGGGCAACATTCTCCCATTCCTCTATGAGAGCAATTTGGAGCTGTTGAAGTGTGATCAGAGGCAGGTTTCGTTCTCCCGAACTCATGTCAAGCTCGATCGAGTTAATCCAATCCTTTCCAAACAGCGCCGTACGCTTGTGTAATTTGATAGAAAGCTACCCCACGGTTTTTTTAATAAAAATTGTTTTGTTGCCAACCACATTCTTATTTCGAACTAATTACATTTTTTAATAAATAATTTACCACTGGAATTTAACTTGTAGCTCTCAGAATAAACTTTTTGTTTATGAATATTTTGAACTCCATTTGCTGTTAAAACATGTTTTTTTTTGTTATCTATAAACTTAAAGGAGATGAAAACTAAAGCGTTTGTAAACATAGATGGTAGATAAAGGAGACAGATATGTAACTATTTAAAGCATACAAGATAATAAAGAATAAAAACAACAACACGAGACAGGTTTTGTTATAAGTTTTACCACAATCAAGGTTTTGACTATCTAATGTATAAGTCAAGGTTTAATGCAGTCACTGATGGTTGCTTAATTTCGAATCCATAATTTACGTTACGACTAAGTAATATAATTGATGTTATGAACGTAAAACACTACGTGACTTACTAAATCATCTTAAAGTATTTCTGTGTGTTTAAATTTAAATCGGTAAGTTCCTACCAGATGATAAAACGGAACTACATTTTTTTAAATATAAATTATTCATATAAATTATTGAGTCACGTATCAAATAAAAGTTGTCTAACTCGTTAGTGGCTAACTGGTTTTTAATGGCCTTTGATTTGATATCTTTCTGAATGGTATTCGTTACAATGAGGTACCTATGCTCTAGAATATGTCACTAGTTGCCACAAAGACAGACAGAGAGACAGAGATGCACAACTACGATTGGATAACTACCTAAGGTACGTTTTAAAGTGATCATCCGATCGGTTGAAGTGTAATCTGTAACATAACGTACGTTTCTACATAGGTAGGTACCTAATATATTTGATACGTACATACATATTGTGCGGTAAATAATATAGTTAATAGCCTTCGATCAAACAAACTATTTACATTTTTTACAAGTTTATTTGATTGATGTCAATACCTACTTACTATACTTGATCAGTATTCTACAAGCTCTAACTGTACTCAACTCTACACCTTAGTTAAAATATGTGGTTTGGCAGTTTCGCTACCGTCCCATGGGCGTAAGTTAAAAATTTATTCATTTTTCCTTACCGTTCTGTTTGTCAGGCCAAGCCACATATTTTGACTAACGTTTACAGTTTGTAGAGTTAAGGCGTGAAGAGTTAGAAGTTTGGCTCTACGTGAGATCTGTTGACTCTTTGACAGTGCGAGCCATATGGTCTCGTCTTGGCAACATTTTACATAAAAATGTTTTTGATGGGATAGTGTATTCTATAAAACATCTCTTGGCATAAAAAAAAACAAGTACAGCACCATCTATCTATCTATCATGAAAGTTGTCAACTTCCAAAGTTTTTTTTAGTTAAAAAAAAATAACAAATAAAATCACTCAAATTTTATTACTATATAAGCGTGTTTTAAAGTATTGATATCGATTGTCTAGTTTTGCTTTTGTGTTAGTGGAGACAAACTTGGTGAATTAAAACACCTTCAATAAAACAGTGGACCTACTGATTGTGCCATCTATCGGCCAATACCAAAGACCGAATGAAGCATTTCACACTCAGGTGCACATTAACTAATGAAGTACGATCCTTCACCGCTAGAAAGCGCAATTTTGATACCGTAAATTTACTTAGTGTTGTTTAGCCAATAGTTCATATTTTGCAGCATCCAAATTGCACATTTTAAAATATAATAATATCTTAACCAATGAAGTGCTACTAGAAATTACAAAGTTTCATTATCATAATCAAATTAGTTAAGTTACATATTTAAGATACGATTTTTGTTTCAACATTGGAATACACTGACTGCTTTGTTGGTCTAGTAGTTAGTGACTCTGACAGTGGCGGATTCAGGATTTTGGTTTTTGGGCTTGGCCATGGTGAGGGTATCAAGGAAAAAACAATAACAAAAGCACATTTTATTTTGCTTGACACATAACCAGCCTCCTCGGATAACTATTGGTGGGTACTTATAATTTATGTAAGAGAATTTTCATGTTTAGGAAAACTTATTTGTCTCTGCTGCTGTTTGGGGGAGATGCTTTATTAATCCCAGTCACTCCAAATCTCCTTCTAAAGAGTTATTTCTCCCGATAACGAGATAGGATGAGGTAAATCGTCATTGTAGCGTGCAGCTGCCACTACTGAGGTTAGACTTTCTGTAACAGGCTGTACAGATCGAGAATTAAAAAGTGCTCTGCTCTCGAAAAGCAACTCTTCAACTGTCCCAAGACAAAGTCGATGAACGAAAGGAATATTTTGATCTAAAACAAAACGAGACATGACATTACTTTCGAGCTCGTAAGAACAACAGCGAAAGATGTGTTGCATTAAACAAAAAGCGAGTGTATGTATTAAAGGCTTATTTTACCTGTAATATTCCTTACTATCAGGTCTTTGTATATTTGAGCGATGAGTTGAACGCTCGATAGTTCTGGGTGCCTGCACTGGTATGTCCAAAGATTCTACAATACGACACACCTCTTAAACTATTTCTTCTTATTTAGATTATCTGTACCTTTTCAGGTTCTTATCTCACTTTTTACCATATCATAGCAAATGTTACGATCCAATGCAACAGCCTGAAGTTGCTGTGAAAGTGAAACAGTAATTTCAAATACAGCGGCGAGTTACCGTCAGAGGTAGGACAAAGTCAAATCGTGGAATAGAAGACAGAAGTGTTGCACTTTTCAATGACGGAGAAGTTCTGTCCATATCTTCAGGAAACTCTGTGACAGAGTCAAAGAGCTCTTTAAATTGAAGGAGTGCATCATGCCTTTCAAGTCAGCGTGATTCATTAAGACTTTTTAACCTGACTCTTTTCGCCTGTAGGTGTTTGTAAAGGATAGCTCGCTTGATAAGTTCCAATCATTTTGCTAACTCACGCACAAAACTGGTAACACTATTTACCATTCCCATCATATTGCGAACACTAGTCAATCTGTTTGCCTTCATGATAGCTAGGTTTTGTTGATGCGCTACATAGTGCATGTAAGGCGCTAGCGGTTGGAATAGCTTTACTTGAACTTACCAGACATGTTGGTACCCCCATCCTAACCTTGACCTCTCAAATTTTTAGACGGCCTCTATTTAATTTTTGAATGATCAGATCCCTTAATGCAGCACCAGTTAAGTCAGTTGCAGATAGGAAAACTCCACGTATAGTGTGCTCTTCTGTATATCCAAATACCCGATACACACAGTGGTTAGTTCTATACCACTGGCTTCGGTTATTTCGACAGCAAGGAAAGTACTCGTATAACATTTGGCTTCCTTGACATTGTCGAGTACCTTTATCATAATGACAGAATGCCAACAATTAATCAGCTGATTTTGAGTTGTCTTGCTCAGAGCCGCACAGAAAACCAATTTCAAGCTATCTAGGTCTGAGACTGCAGACAGAGATCGCCACTGAGATCGACACAACAAGCCACCACAATTACCTAAATATAATATATTGTGATGTTATTATTAGGCATGTTTGTCAGAAGTAAGTCAAGTGTGAATGTAGTTCACGCTTTGGCGACTCCAGACGTTTGTGTCGCGCGACGGAACAGGCGGCGCGTCGTTGCGGTGTCCTGATGCGTAGCCGACCACCGGCAAACAACGACACACACACAACATATTATGGGTGTGGATTTTATTGTAATTGCCGGACTGTCGTCGGATTGGTACGTGTGGAAAAGTTTTGTTCTACTTTTGGTGTCTCTATATTAAGTATGAACAAACAGGAGCGTCGTGTAACAATATCTTTTAATAGAGTAACCTAGTAAGTGAGGATTATATTTCTAAATAAACCATATCTCCAGTAACGCTGCAGCGTATCAAGCAGCGGTTGGAAAAGCTTCAATACTCAATACTCAATACTTTATTGCTTCCACAATGTAAATGCATAGGTGATATCAATTTAAATATAGTAACAATTATGGACCCTGACGGGCGCAGCACAGTTTGTTTGGGAGAGAGGAAATAATATTTTATTTATTATTTATCATAAGAGTTATATAATTTATGAATTTTATTATTTTAGTATTCTATCTTCAAAATACTCTCTTATGGTGTAGTAGCTTTTACTTACAAGAAAGAGTTTTAATTTTTTTGTGAAACTGTTATATTTATTTTCTTGTTTTATGGTTTTAGGTAACTGATTGTATATTTTGATGGACATTACAAATGGGCTGTATGAGTGCATTTTGAGTCGGGAAGCTGGTAAATTAAGTCTATCTTTGTGTCTAAGCATC